TATCGGTTTCATACTTGCCAATGTGAACAAGTCTCAGGAGCACATTTAGGACAGATGCCATGAAGAAATTGCTTGGTTTGGGATAGAGACAAAAATATTCAGAGCTTTAGCAACTACCCACAAACCAAGCTCCACAAAGAACATATAAAATACCAAGTTTTCAGAAGTTCATATCTCAATCAACTCAAAACTTATTTCACAGCAGAAGACAACACAAAGCAATTCCTTGTCCATATGGTCATGCTCGTGCTTCAACTCTCTCAAGAAAACACATCTTTCCCCTCCCGTTGGTGAAAAAAAAACTGATTTGTACATCTATGCTAGACTTAAATTCTACTTTAGAGCCAAAGAAGATTACAATGATTATAGCAATCAAAAATCATACAAACGTGTAAAAGCTTTGTCCTCCCACAAACTCAGCAACAACATTTGATATGTTCTGGTGGATTGGGCTGCATCTTCCAAAATTCCATGAGCAGACAATGAACAAAAGTTACACAGATAATATCAACAATTTTCACACATATCCCCCAAAACCCCAATGTCTCTGGCTTTTTGATGTCATCGTATTATTACTGACCCAAATCTCCATCTAAGAGCTATCCACAGAACTGAAAACTAACGCACACAAAGAAAGTTTAGTCTTCAGCTCCAATAAGATGCAGGAACTATTCCTCTCGTTTTCACCTTTTTACGAGTAATTTGGTTGTCAGCCTGCCAGACTCCATTCTACTCATTCTCGCCCAAGCATAACGAGCATCTCAGTGCAACAGACAGCCTCAGAGGAACCGCACACACCAGCAGAGCTGCGAAACACTACAGCAAAGGTGTAGCTCTCATCAGTCTGGAAGCGATGCTCGGAGAGCTTTGGGGCCCTTCCCTTCCCCTCCCCTCCCCTCCCGCCAAGGCGGCTCTCCGCGCTGGCTACGGTGACGGCCTTCTGGTGCGGGAAGCGCCGGGCCCAGCGGGCAGCCGGGCAGGGCCCCGCCTGGCCGCTCGAAGGGCGGAGGCAAATAAGCGCTGCGCAATGGAGCGACGGGCCCAGCAGCTCCT